TAGAAGCTTTTATAGCAGTTTAACATTTCTGCAACCTCACAGTATGTGTTTTTGTATTTAAAAAATATATACTGATCTGTAGATTAGAAATGAAAAGATCCTTTACCATGGATCGTTTGAGAAATACTGCTGTATGATGTCCTGGGAGGGTAAGATTTCCCCAGGCGTTGACAGCCTGCTGGGTGGTGGTAGAACTTGAAATGGAGACTTAGGGATTACTGTAAAAGGGGGTGTTGTGAACAGAGGTGCCCGTGGAGTTGTGGATGCCCTCGGCATTTGGCACGCCCACTCCCCCTGCTCCTAGATGATAGAGCAACAGTTGCAATTTCCAAGAATGTGATACAAAGGCTACTTCTGCTTTTTGTTGTTTATGTGTGTCTATGTGTGTGCATATGCACATGTGGTTTGTGTGTGGCTAAACGGGCAGAAGGCAGATAGCAATGGTGAGGACGATAAGAGAGATGCAGAGAAGAACTTCGAATATTTTTAAGCTCTTAGCAAGCAGAAGCAGAAGTATAGCAGTGGACCAGCCCCCTCATCTGGTCAAAGCTGCAAATCACAGCCTTCGTACTTATAACCTATAGCAAAAGGAATGTCTGGGAGGGTGGGGATTTCTATAATGTGATGGGTATATTAGTTGGGGTTCTCCACGGAAACAGACCAATAGGAGAAATAGACAGCTAACTGATAGCTAGGTAGCTAAGGAGGGGACGTAGAGAGAGAAATAAGTAACTGACTTGCACGACTGTGGGGGCTGACCATTCCTGAATCTGTACAGCAGGCTGGCAGGCTGGAAATTCAGGCAGTAGTTCTACGCACGTCTGAGGAGAATTCCTTATTCTTTGGGGCTCTTCAGTCTGTGTTTTCAAGGCCTTGACTGAGTGAAGCCCATCCACAGATGGAAGCTAATCTGCTTTACTTAAAGTCCACTGATTTCCATGTTAATCACATCTGAAAATCACCCTCACTGGACTGAAAAATCACCTTGATCCAGGTTGGTGTTTGACCAAATAGCTGAGCACCACAGCCTAGCCAGCCTGACACATAAAATTAACCATCACAAGGGGAGAATTTACACACACGTTTCGTTGCAGCTGTAAACGGCTGGTCTGGTCACCAATTCCAATTGTTTGGGGGGAGGGGTCCCCCCACACCACGGAGCAATTCTCTGGGTACCAGCTGGGTGTCCCACCACTTATCTCAGTTCTGACACTGTCTATTCAGAGATGGAGTCAGATTCCACAGGTTAAGGGTTCAGTCCTACAAGACTCGGCCTCCCCCCAATTCAGATGCCAGTTTCAAGCCCAGGTTGTTACCTGTGCTTCTAACCAACTGCCTATAAATCAGAGGTTCCCACGACCCTCTTATTCCTCTGATTTGTTCAATTTGCTAGAGTGGCTCAGTGAACTCAGAGGAACATTTTACTTACACATCACCAGTTTATCATAAAAGGATCTAATTCAGGAACAGTTGGGTGGAAGACGTGCATAGGGCAAGGTGTGTGGGAAGGGGCTCAGAGCTTCCATGCCTGCTCCAAGGCAGGCCATGTTCCGTGAACAAACCTCCATCACTAACCTGGAATCTCTCTGAACTCCAACCTCTTGTGGCTTAATGGAGGCTTCATTATGTAGGCAGGACTGATGCAACCATTGGCCATTGGTAATGATTCACCCTCCAGCCCTATTCCCCTCCTCCGAGGATGGTCTTAAAAGTTCCAACCCTTTAATCACTTGATTGATTTTCTTGCCAACCAGCCCCCCATCTTGAAGTCACTTCATTAACATAAAAAAAGACACATTACCACTTTCATCATTTAGTGAATTCCAAGGGGTTTAACAGCTCCGTGCCAGAAAGGGAATAGAAGCTAAATATGTGCATCTTATTATAAATCACAATGTCACAAACAGAAAGCCAAAATCTCACTCAGGAGACACTTCAGGGCATTGGTGAGTATCACATCTTTTCCATAGCCTCAGTCTAAAATCCCATACCAATAGGATTTTCTGGGTCTCTCGAAAACTGTGAGAACTTAAGTATTTACGAAAGGTCTTCATTGCATAAGAAAATAGATTTCTGAGTCTGAATTACCAGAATAAAAGTTATTTTTACAGGGAACATTAGTTTTCTGGAAAGCACGCCAGGGGCATGGCTTCCTGAAATGGATCAAGACTTTAACACACAAAGCCAGCAGCTCCATCCTAGCTGGTCTCATTTGGCTCTTAGGTCCTGACATTTGAGATGTGATCCGCTCCTTTTACACTCTGTTGGCTAAGAATGGTCCAAACAGTTGTCATGGAATATTGCATGGAGATAAGAAATGGGGGTCCCCTGTCAGAAGGCTTCATCCCACTCATGAAGCAAGATGATGCTTTGGGTTGAAGTATCTCCTAGAGACAAAGCTCAGGTAAGAGGTGCAGGGACCAGTCCCAACAGGAGGCATGCTAGCCAAGACAGCCTCAGAGCGCATTGCCAGAGGAAGAATGTACGTGCGGCTGCTTAATGAGGCTGAGAGGCAAGTAGACAGAAGCAGACTTAACATGTTATATCCAAAGAGTAAAAGATACAGGAAAGCATCTTTTTAAAGATATAAGTCTATGGATAAAGTTGCGATATATTTATACAATGGAATACTACTCTGCCATGAAAAAGAATAAAATAATGCCATTTGCAGCAACATGGATGGATCCAGAGATCGTCATTTTAAGTGAAGTAAGCCAGAAAGAGAAAGAAAAGTACCATATGATATCACTTACATGTGGAATCTAAGAGAAAAATAAAAGGACACTATGAACTCATCTGCAAAACAGAAAAAAGACTCATAGACTTAATAAACAATCTTACAGTTACTAGGGAAAGAGGGTGAGAAGGTTTAAATTTGGGAGTTTGAGATTTACAAATGTTAGCCACTGTATATAAAAATAAATTTTAAAGGTTTCTTTTCTATAGCACAGGGAACTAGGTTCACTATCTTATAATAACCTTTAATGGAAAAAAATATGAAAATATATATATATATATGTATATATATATGCATGACTGGGACGTTGTGCTGTACACCAGAAATTTACACATTGTAATTGACTGTACTTCAATTAAAAAAATTCGCTCTCTCTCTCTCTCTCTCTATATATATATATATATATCTGAGAGTGAGATAGAGACAGTAAAAACATTTTTCTAAATGTTACTGGTGAAAAAAATCTTACAGTTAGAGTAATTGTACCCAAAATACCTCCAAACTGTCACTCAATAAAATCAGATACATATACTCATGTATGCATAGCTATTTGTCTGTCTACCTGCTTTTTCTCTCTCTCTCCCTCTATACACACACACACACACACACACACACACACACACACACACACATACTCAGACTTGCAAATTCATTCACAAGAGTTACTTAAGTTCGTAAAGATCAATCCATTAGCAAATTTCCAGCTTATTCACATAGTCAAGATTTTTGTCCTCATATGATAAAGTAGTTGCAATTTTTTTAATAAAAAGGTTATTAACCCAATGATTAGCCCTCCTTTTCTGTGGAATATAAATCAGCAGCTATTCATAAACATTAAATTAATTATTATAAGAATAATGTCTCCAGAGATGTTTGGCATTTAGCATATGGGAATCATTTGTTTTTGTATAATACAAACAAAACAAAAGAAAAAGATGAACTTACTTTTGAGACAGTAATCTAGAAACCCAGTTTATGCCTAGGTCTCATTATTTCCAGGAAAACGGTTCACATTCCTTGTCTATAACATCTCTGCATTATGGTTGAGCTGTTTGCCTGCCTTGAAAATTCCCTTTAAGACTGCTTTCTAGAGGGAGACTGTGATAGCAATTGTCTTGGCCTGACAGCACTAGATTCATGTGATCACTCTTGGAGAAACTGCTTTTTTACTGACCTGCAGCCGATTCCTTGGCAGAGAAGTGTCAGCTGTATTTCTGGAGCATCACATAAGGAGGGGTCTCCAGAGGGAATGTAAGGTTTGTAAAACGCTCTCTTCTGTGCCTCAAAAGAAAACGGCTGATTTCTAAATATAAAACACTACCTTTGAAAAGTAAGAAGGTAAAGAGCTTAGTCAGACAGAATCCTTTTTTCCTCTGTTCAGGAGTTCTGGACCTTCTGAATGGTTATGTTGACTCGAGTAATCTAATCAGGTTTTGACCATTTTGAAAAGCAACTGCTTAAATCTCTGCTTCCTATATCATCACATCCTCCTTTCCTACTTTCTTTACCTCAGGAAATAGCACCAACTTCTACTTGCTCAAGATAAAATACAGGAAATCTCCTGGACTGTTCTTTCCTCCCCCTCCCAGCATCCCCCCACACCCAAACCACCAGCAAGTCTTACCCAACAATGTTAGTTCTCAGGTATAGCCCAGTCCATTCAGTCTCCATACCTCTCCACCAACCTACACCAAGCCTCTGTCATCTCTCAATTCGTATTATTGCAATAATTGATTAATTAATTCCCTGTACCCACTCTTGATACCATACAATCTATTCTCCACTCAGAGGAAAGTGTTGTCTTTTTTAAAATGTGTATCTGATAATGTAATTCTCCTTCTCAGCACCCTTCAAAGACTTTCCGTTGCACTTCAAGTCCACGTCAACTTCCTCATTTCACCGAGCCCTCCGCATTGCTCCAACGTCACCTCTAGGCACTCAGACCTGTTCCTGACTTGAGACCATTGTCTGTGCTCTTCGCTTGGCCTGTCCATCTCTCCCCTGTTCTCAACATCACTGCTTTCTTCTTGCCCTTGACTCTCAGTTTGTCATCGGCCAGAGTAAGTCTTTTCTGATTAATGTCCCCAGTGTTTCCTTCCACCATTTCTGTTATCTGACCACATTATTATTATTTATTTTTTGCACAGTGCTTACCTCTATCTCAAGGCTTCTCAACCTCAACACTATTGACACTTGGGGCCAAATAATTCTTTGGTGAAGGGAGGAGCCATGATGGAAATGAAATCAAGGAAAGGATCATTGGGAATGAGAAGGCTGAAACTACAGAAATTTATTTTCTCACAGTTCTGGAGGCTAACAGTCCATGATCGTGGTGCCAGGAAATTTAGCTGCTGGTGAGGTCTGTCTTCCTGTCTTGCAGACAGCCACCTTCTCGATGTGCTCTCAGCATGACCTTTTCCCTGTGAGTGTGCAGAGAGATGAGGTGTCTCTTCCTCTTCTTGTAAAGACACAAGTGCTATCAGATTAAGCCCCATCTTATGACCCCATTCAAACTTATTACCTCCTTAAAGGCCCTACTCCAAATACAGCCACGCTGGAGATGAGGGTTTCAGTGCATGAATTTGTGGGGAACACAATTCAGTGCGTGACAGCTAGCAACAATAACAGTAGCAACGACAACATTAAAAGCTCACCTAAATAAGAATGTACAAGAACAGTGCACTGACTTTGAAGTGTTTATAAGATCACTGGTTGGATAGGTCATAACATATACAGATACAGGAAAGTAACATCTATGAAGTTTTAGTGTTCTGCATAAGGATAGACCTTTGCATTATAAGAAAACATAAAAAATTTTGAAATTGTATGTACTATACGTATTTTAAAACTTGTACCAGCTTGATCATTCAAATCTTACTACAATGACTTTTACAGGTTTCAAACCTCCAGCATCGTCACAAGAGAGAACATGGACTCTACAACCTAAAATTTGAAAAGTGACAGAAAAGGAAAAAATCAGTAAATTAAGATCAGGTGATAAGGAAGTGAATCACGAAAAGCAACACCATGCTGCTATAATTAATCATTTGACTCCCTTTCCCCTACAACCATCGGCATTGTCTCACTGCGTACTTACCTGCTCAGAAAGACGAGAAAATAGTTAGTATTTTGAAGTTCAGAGAAAGAAAATGAAACAATCTCTGTATCATCCTCAGAAATATAAACAATTCCATAATCAATGTGTTTTAAAATTTGCTGCCGTGTGAAGCATGGGGTTCGGCGGCTGCTGAGGGGCTGCACGGCCGGCTGAGCGTCACCACCCTCACGGGCCTTGCTCTTTAGTCCCGTTATATGTAATATTATTGAGAAAAATGATGGCTTGAGTTTCTAAAGCATTTTGAAGCCACATCTGAGATAAGACACATTAATGCTATAAAATACTATCTTAAAGATCGAGTATTTGGGCTTTAAGGCTCTTCCTGCAGGAGCTTCCACTTTACTGAGAGATCAACTTCCTCATCAAAACTGTCCAGCTCCTGCTCCTTGGAGAGCTCCAGAAACACCTGCAATGGAGGGAAAAAATAAAGAGAAGGGGGTCACACTGGCCCCGTGGCTCCAAGGGAGTGCAGAGTGAGCGTACACACATACTACACACACATTCCACGGAGGCCGTAAAATCCCTAAAGCAGATGCACCTGCTCCAGGGTGGACTGCGAGAGGCTGTACTCCTCCAGGTTGAAGCTCCGCTTCCTGGCAGAAGGATGGCCGTGCATTAGGAGCGCATATAGTTTTCATTCACAGAGTTTCACCGAGTCATGGACGAAAAAGTCCATACAAACAGATTTTAAATATAAAAGGCAAGGTAACAAATATTCCTGGATTGAACATGGGAAAGCAAATTCACCACACGGTCCCACAACAAGATGGAAACACTCTCCCACTGTCTGGGAGATTGGTCAGAGGCTCCAAGAGCCTGGAAGACAACACGGGAGGTTCCAGACCAGCTGTGCAGGACAAGCCAAAGGACGGGTCCCTGCGTTCTGAGCACCTACCACGTGCCCCCCTGTCCTACACCTTCCCTCTGCCCCACCCTGCCCTCTGCCCCAGAGGCTGACTTAAGAGGCTCCTGCTGGGGGACTCCACCAGTGGAAAGCCCAGGAGGAGGGACAGAGGAGAGAAGAGATGAAGGCCTTTATTCCTTCTCTTCCTCCCTGACACCAAATGTGTCCCTTGATTCAAGGTCACTGCTTCCCGCAAGGTGACAAATTCTGCACGACTCTGCTCCCAAGTTTCAGTCCTTGTTTTCTCTCTCGGTCCCTTCGGACCTAAGAATGGAAACACTTCTGCCATTTCCAGCCTCGGATAATTGCACTGTTCCTTGCACCTTGCCAAAGGGTCCCTTTATCAACAAAATTGCATGGGATTATCCTGGTTTTGAGTTTACAGTCTGCTACCAGTGTGGACTGTGACCGAGCCTCCAACTGTGCAAACACGTAAGAGAATAATGAACGGGAGGATGGGGCTGGAAAGCAAGGCTTCTTTGGACATCTGTGCGTGGCTGTGGTATTTCTGCCCTCCTCTCCACGGACAGAGGGTGTGGTGGGACTGGCCTGCAGTATGGGGACATGGGGGGTTTGTCCTTGATTCACTTCTGGGAACACGTGAAGAAGAAATACTGTGGGTAGCTGACGACTTTCAGAATTTGGAGACGCAAAGATGCTGCAAATTTCTGATGGACTTTGAAGGGAGGCACCCCAAGAGTAACTCCTGGAAGGACAAAGGGGTTCTGAGCAGGAGCCCGGCGTCCGCAAGGTGTTCACAAGAGGCCAAGTAAAGGAGGCATCACCCCCTCTTCCCAGGAAGCTGCAGTCAGAGATTACAGATGGGAGGGAGAGGAGCCTTCAAGGAACCCACAAAAGCACTCCACAAAGGAGAGAACTGCTCATCTCCACACAGGAGGCCCTGCTGCCGTATTCCGGCTCTAATGATCAGATCAAGCTTTGCTGCTGTATAATCTCGTCCCTTCTCCTTAAACTCCACCCTAGAGAGGCCCAGAACATCAGCTTATGGGCAGAGGAGGGAATAGGGTAAGAAGAGAGAGAAAGCTAAACATCCCGCCTTCCCAGTTTCAGGTCTTCAAATCTGAGGCAAGTCTGACCTGGAGGGAGCACGTGAGGCTCATGTTTTGCTGGAGTCTGCATTACCCGAAAGTGATCTGATGGTCTGGAAGAATGGGTCTAGGTATCAAGACAAGGAAATAGTCACCAGGCAGGCATTTTGCTTGTCTGATCCTGGGCCGAGCTCATTCAGTAAATGTGTTGCAGCTGAGAATGTGACTGTGTCTGAATTAACATTTGGAGGAAAAAAAGCTAGCCTAGATCCCCTATTTTGTACTTTGTGTACTCTTCACACAATGGAGCAGGAAACTGTCACAAAAACTTCTTTTATTCCCCCCAAAATGAGAATTTCAGTTTTAGCACGTTAAGCACAACAGAAGGAATCTGAGGTGGGAGGGAACAGTTTTGAAAGCAGAAATGTGAGAAGGCTCTTAAGAAAAGGCTCCGTTGTATTCCAGGGAGGCAGCCATCCTGGAACATCTCCCTCCCTGATCTTAACTAGTTATAAAACCTTCTTGTTGCCCAGAGCCAGCCGGTTGTGGGAATCCTTCCCACTGAATGATGCAAAACTGGTCACTTGGCCAAAATGGTCAGTGTGGAGAATGACCACAGAGACCATAGAACAAAGGTGACCAAAGTGAAAAGAAAACCTGCCTGGGATGATCGGAGCCTTGTCTCAAGGAGAAGACTCTCTTTAAGAACTAGAATAGAACGCTGATGGGGGTGGCGGATAGCTCCGCGGTAGAGCACCTACCTGCACGTAGGAGGTCCTGGGTTCAATCCCCAGTACTCCCATTTAAAAAATAAATATACAACCAAAAGCTTGTTTCTTTAAAAAAAAAACAAAACAGAAAAACTAGAATGCTGGGGCCTGTAAAGACAGGTCACTTGCAAGAAGGGCAAGATCAAGAAGAGGGGGGCGGTGTTCAGCTTTTTATCAGATTTCATACACTGGTGTGTCAGGCAAACACTGAGCCCACGACAGACCCACGCAGGAAGCAAAGATCAAATTCCGCGAGCATAGAGAAGAGGCCTGGCCTGGCCCAGCTCCACAGAGGGGGCCCTCCTTATCAGCATCTGAAAGGCGATGGAAGCATTAAAGAGACAAAAAGCGCGTGTATGTCTGTCTGTCTGAGCTGCGGACGCTCTGGCCCCAGATGCCAGTGGTCTTGTCCTCCCTTCTAGTCTCACTCAGTTAGTCTGGGGTTTCTCAGTCTTGGCGCTGATGACATCCTGGCCGGACCTTGCTTTGCTGCGGGAGGGGCTGACTTGTGCGCCGCAGGATGTTCAGCCCCTTCCCTGGCCTCGAGAAGACCTCCCAAGCACCAGCTGTACCCCGAGTCGTGAGAGCCAGAAGTACAGGCCGACGTCGTTTTACTGCGTTTCATTATTGCACTTCCCAGATACATTTTTTTATCTTGTCTTGTTCTTTTTTTTTTTTAAACAAATTGAAGTTTGGTGGCAGCCTTGCATCGAGCAAATCTATCGGTGCCATTTTTCCAACAGCATTTGCTCCCTTTGTGTCTCTGTGTCACATTTTGGTAATTCACAAAATATTTCAAATTTTTCATTATTATCTTTATGTCATGGTGATCTGTGATCAGAGATCTTTAATGTTACTACTGCAAAAACATGACGACTCGCTGACAGCTCAGACGATGGCTAGCATTTTTTTAGAGAGAAAATATTTTAAATTATGGTATGCACGTTGTTTTTTTAGACATAATGCTATTGCACACTTAATAGCCTACAGTATGGTGTAAACACCACTTTTATATGCCCTGGGGAACCCCAAGATGAGTGCAACCTACTTTATTGGGGTGTCCACTGTACTGCGTTGATCTGGAACCGAACCTGTAATATCTCCGAGGTCTGCCTGAATCCCCAGAAACTGCCAACTGAGAACAACTGGGTTAAAAGTCTTGATATTTATTTAAGTATAATAGCACAATTTTACCTTCATGTGTTTATTACACTGCTTTATGCAAGATTTGCAAACATCTGTCTACTAGAGTCTCACCTCTCAACGGTTACTCTCACCTGCTTCTAATTTGAAGAAAGCCTGCGCTAAAGGTCGCACATCCTCGAGAGGCAGCCTGTAGACCATGAGGGAGGAGAACCTGCGAGGAAAGGAGAGCGAGGCTGAACTCCAGGTTCCAAAAGCACAGTCACTAACGGATGCAGGTCTGAAGGGGAGTGGACCTCGTCCACAACGCGTGCAGGCGTACGCATCTTGACAGCGCTGGGGGCAGCCGTAGTGTGAATGGTCTTTGATCAGCAGGAAGTAAATTTACTCATGTGGAACCATTAGAAGAAGCTTTACTGTCGGGAGGCACGGGGGACGACAGGGAGGAAGCTGACAACACCGACGCCCCGAGAAGGGAAGAAGCAGGGTTGTGTATCACCCTCTTCTCTCAGTGAGAAGAGGGGAGCATTCAAGCGAGGAGAGTCAGGTTCACCTTCTGGCTCCCCCACTAGTTCCTTGGCATCATCTAACCCACCTGGGCTTCAAGGGCCACTGCGGATCATAATTAAAATGCTCAGAGATGCCATTCCCTGAGCTTTTGACGCCTGCTACTGGGCACAGGCTTCACACAGGTGATCTTGTTTAATGGGAGTGTTTTTACCCTTTAGGAAGAAAAACCACTGAGATGGCCTCGGTACCTGTACATGTTAGTACCTGGCACGTTATAGAGCTGCCAGAAATGCTAATTTTCTTACGAGGATCAGCTTTCAAATCAGTACTTGGTTTTCTTAGTCCCCCTCTGTACTATCCCTTGGAACTGGGCCTTTCTCCAGTCATTAAAGTATTCATAATCACCACAGAGGTAAAAAAACAAAGAATGAGCCTATGAAGCTTTTCTCTCTCACGGCCTTCAGAGAAAAACAAAACAGAGACCAAGCTGAAACAGAACAAGTCCTGTGTTCACCTCTCCTGCCGAGCAGCGTGGGGGAAAACCCTCAGAATTTCGCCGTGCAGAGACTCCACCTGGGCCAGGGTCTTCACCTTCATCTCTAGCAGATAATCTTTGCCAAATTTGCTCTTCAGATGTTGGATGGAGCCGATACATCTAGAGGTAAGAGGAGGAGGAAGCCCAGCAAGAAAATGGAGAGAGAACCCTGTTGTAGGTGATCTGGGGCCGGGAGGCCAGGGGCAGCCAAGCCCTGCGGCCTCTCACAGAGATAACTGTGTGCAGGGAGAGGCCGCTTGTGCAGAGCACACCTGGGGACCAAGTGTGGGCTGGGACGGGCACCCACCTCAGCCTCCCAGACACCATGATGGCCACGCGGTCACACACAGCCTCAGCCTCTGCCATGTAATGGGTGGTCAGGAGGGCGCCCCTCTCCGTGTTCCTAATGGTGGCCCGGGTCGCCTGCCTAACATGAGGTCAAGGGAAATGTTAGCTAGTGGAAATGCTCCAGGCAACATGAGAGCACATTTTAAAGGAGCTTCCATTGGCTCATATAAAACAGTCAATTCAGATCAGACAAAGAAAAGATCTTTGAAGGGCCAACATGCATGGAAACGACCAAGCTAACAGGGTACCTAATTCAGAGCATAGCCTGAGCTGAAGGTAGAGAATGACTGGGTACAAGGTTGTTTAGAAAAATGCTGAATTTCAAGAATATTTATGAAAGGCAGTGGGAAGACAGAAAATGAGGAGAGCTTATTTAAAAGCATGAGAGTAATGACATATTCCCTAAAATACAAAGCGACAGATTTCAGGATATTCCTAAAGTAATTAAAAGAACACATTGAGTATAATCTAAAAAACTTCTGAATCACTATGTTGTACATCTGAAACTAATATAATATTGTAAATCAACTATGCTTTGATTAAAAATGTTTCAAAAAATAAAATTAAATGGACATTTTGCATGGCAAAAATAAGAATATATTGGAATTTATTTTCCCTCCATAAGAATTGTGTATCTGGTGGTGCTGCCAAAATTTAAAATTTAATAATAGATTAAGTTGATTGAATATAAAAACGGGCCTTGCAGACTTGGAAATTCTTAGAGTGAGTACTGAGTTGTTAGAATTATCTTTTTCTTCTTAATAAAAATTGTCTATGACATGACGTTAGATTTTTTTTTTCTCTTAATAATTGCTTTTTCTGATAATGTGGATGTTTTCACTTTATAAACAATTTAAAAAAGAATTTTATTGCATCAAGGATTTTTTTTAGTGTAAAATTTCAGACTTTCAAATGATGACTGCACAATCGTTGCCTAGGTATATTTATAAACTGTGAGTCAAAGAGGAAAAAACCTCCTTCGGCACAAAAAAATTCACAGACTCTCACTATTGGATCGGTTATAAACAACGATTGTGAAGTTCAGGTCTTACAGGGCTATACATTCACTTGGGGGTACTCCTGATATGCCCTCACCACATCTGCAGCTGCCCCTCGGGGTCCGTCCCCGTGGACGGCTCGTCCAGAAGCACCACCGACGGGTTTCCCAGGAGGCTCAGCGCGAAGCACAGCTGGAAGGAGAGGAACCGCGTCTGGCACCGACCTGGGGGTGCGCAGAGGAGCACCCCGCCCCGCCCCTACCTTTCGCTTTCCTCCCTCGGATAAAGCCTTCACGGGGAGCTTCAGCTGCTCCTGCAGCTTGAGCGCATCCACCAACCTGAAGGAGACAGAGTGAGTCACTCTCTCCACACTGCCTCCGCACAGCGGGGAGTGCGTGGGAGAAAAGGCGAATCAGAACCAACACTCCAGCAGAGACATTTTTAAAAGAGTTTTCGGAGTGATCGTAAAATTGGAAGTATCTAGGATACTTCGTGAACTTTGTATGGCAGCCAAATTCATATTTTCAGTGGCTTCTTTCCGCATTAAGGAGAATCCATAACCAAACATTATGAGGGTTCCTTAAAAAGCTAAAAATAGACCTACCACAAGATCCAGCAGTCATATTCCTGAGCACATACCCAGAAAAGACAAAAACTCTAATTCAAAAAGATATATGCACCCCAGTGTTCATAGCAGCACTATTTATAACCGCTAAGACACGGAAACAACCAAAGTGCCAATCAAAAGATGACTCACTTCAAAATGTAGAATAGATAAACAAGATTGCACTGTATAGCACAGGGAAATGTATGCAAGATCTTATGGTAGCTCACAGAGAAAAAAAAATGTGACAATGAATATATGTATGTTCACATATAACTAAAAAATTGTGCTGTACACT